CACACGTTTACATGAAGCTTCTCATTCTTTCTTCTTTCCGAAAGTATACCTATAGCTAGCCTCACAAACTCTCGAGCAGCGCTTTGAACTACCCAACCGATGGAGTTTACTTTCTACAGATAACGCGAAACCCCGTCCCGAAGTTTTAAAGCTGGTGAAACAGAGGCAGTGGGTAAACCACTATGAATCCATCTTTATCTCAGGGTAATTACAAGGTCGCTATAGGTTCACGTTTCAACCCATCTGACCTCAAGTGTTGCTTGGAAAGCGTCATGTAACTTCACAATTGACCAATCGGGCCAAGAACTCTTAAGTAATAAAAAGACACGCAGTTAATTAAAGTTTATTGAAGCTATAGTGATACCGGTTGAAAGAATTACGCTAGGAACAACTTCTTGTAGCTGGATTTACTCAGAAAGCGCAGAAAAACTACAATGATGATAACTGCAAAACTCAGGCCTCAGGCCAGGTTCGAACTGGCGATTACCGCCTCCGAATCTGGCGTGGGTTCTGAGCATTGCAAATATCTCAGCATTGTTGCGGTTGTATTTCACATAATACCTTACCATGAAAAAACAATAGGCAATAAAAAATGACTTATGGATTGCCGAAAAGCCCTTTCAAATTGTTCCGACTCGAGGAATACCTAACCAACCTATTGCAACGAAAGACAACTTCTTACAAAAATTTTTAAAAAATATAACAAAAGTGGCATAAACGGCATGCTTCACAAAAGTTTTAGACGAAACTGGAAGTACAGACTTTTTCTAAGATAGTATGAAGAAATGTTGACATCTAACGAAAATAATGACAAAAAAGAACGTAAAGAAATTTTGGTGTTCAGCTGGTAATAATGATAATAAAGGGAAAAATTTTAGTTACTATGCGATCGGGTAATAACTTTGAAACCGCGTTTTTCTATGAAACTTCCACGTTACAACAGTAACGGACTGCCTGCAGATGCCGTGCAATATAAGCGTATTTGGTGGTTCGAATCCACACCGGACCAATCAAGTTTGTTGTCCTTTTTGGGATCAAAAAATTGACACCATAGAAAATGCTACCACCGAAGCATAAACGCCAACGGCTGATTGTGATGAAGTTCCGCGAACGGTCTAACGGAGTTATTCAAAGACTCCAAGGAGAATCGGAGCAAACAGCTTCGAATACACTCGTGAAGAAATCATAATATCTAAATAGCAGCTAAATTCACAAGCTAGTCCAAGATCTTCGTGGATGATGGTGTTCAAAACAACGAGCCGAATGACATGATTGCTGAAATCCGTGTAACTGTGTAGATGGGACATATAAGGAAAACAAAGCAATAAAATTAAAAACCGTTATAAGCACTTTCTCCAATGTTTCGCAAGCTTAGACATCCTATCTACTTAAAGATCTCTAGATCTAAAAGTCATGAGCATGTTTTCTTTAGAAAGACGCTGTTCTTGTGCTTGAAAAAAGGCGATTGTCTGCTGATAGTTCTGATAAGCAAGGCTGAAGAGACAGAGCACATTTCCAACGACGGCTTGTTCAACTTCTAGATCACCACTCGTGGAGGAGGGTGCGTATTGCGGTGCATTAGAATCCACCCACCTTTCTTAGTTTATTAACATCCGTTCGCACATCATGATTGTGATGCAATTATTGAACTGGGTAGCATGGATGAGCTACTAGGTTAAACTGGGTGACATGAGCTAAGAGGAATGAAAAGGTTACTGAAATTTCTTTTCAAACATCTTCTGCGTCAAATTTAACCTTTAGAAGTGTTGTGGCCGAGCGAGCATCTTCGTTCAACTACTGAGCAGAACGTCGTTGATTAGTGTGCAGAATCTAATTTTCGTCATACGTCGCAATACGATTAAGAATCGGATTGTTTTTATTGCAGAAAAGAAGAGCAGAACAAATTTTATAATAACGGTCTAATCGTTTCCCGTTTAATTCCGATGTGAACCATTCGACGAGTCTCTTTTCAACTTTCCACTTCACTTGATTCCTTCCAAAATTGTTGTTTTATTTACATTTAATTTCTTCGGAAATGCTTGAACCGTCGTATTAAAATTTGTTCTAGGTAAGATCTTCACATATTGTCACCGTTAAGGAGAATGGATCAACACCGATTATCGTAATGTCCAATGAGCCATCTGTTTGACGAAACTGTTGAAAACAACGTTCCATAGTCCGATCGCAAACGATTCACCGGCCAGATACTACCTTGATATCACGAGTTTCTCATGGTTTCAACTTTTAATTTATTACTCTATTTAGTTTTCATTTTATTCTGTTTTGCACAACCAGTTTTCAAATCGTCCATGCGGATCCCAGCACTTCTTGCATTCGATTCGTATCCTCACTTCCATCAATGATGGAGGCCTTCGAACCTTTCGTGTTTGAGCTGCTGCTTGAGGATTGTCATCTTTTTCATTAATCTTGTTTAATGCTAATCGAGTCCAGTCTAGAGCGTTCCCATCTTGATCGCTTTGATTTTTCACAAGTCTAGCACCAATTTCCTAGCCCCACAGAGATTAAGCGAGTAGCGAACTATGTGACGGGTCGAACCGGTACTGTGACCGTGATACACCCACCTCCACCACTGCGCCAACCGTACCCTGTCCAATTACAAAATAAATTCTCGAAATCGTCATTTCCCACTTCAATTGGTACATAACAAAATATTGACATAACGAATTGGAGCTTATTGAAACATAGATGAAAAATGATATTGGGCAAAGCATGAAGTCTTCACACTGCATATCGAACATTTCATACAGAGTAAAAGAAACGACACGCTGCTAGATTTCCGACGATACAAAGAGTACGTTTGGTCAATTTCTGGACACTGAACCAGAATTGGACGATTTAATCAAATTAAGAAGGTGCCATAGATCAAATCCTTAATCAATAACCATGCTGACCCCGCCTTCATCGAACGAATGCTTTTAAAATCCTCTACAGCTACTTACTATATGTTACTACAGCCCATCACGCAATACGAATTGCTGCCAGAATTTGAAAAGGTTTTCGAGCTCAGGTGGCGGTTATTTCATTATATTTTATATCCGCACATTCCATACAATAGCTATGGATTTATCCTCGCCATTAAAATGAAACAACAGCAGATAATAGCTAATAGTTGAATGGCCGACCTCCTATAAACCTCGGCATAAGGAGTTGATATATCAATCTTTATGATAATATAAACCGCAACACTTGTAAGGGACAAGGTTATGGAAGGCCAATGTTAGGGAATGTGCCGAGGTTTATAGAAAGTCGGCTTTTTGAGTTATTAAGAGATGCGCCAACAAAATATTTCCGACTTATAACAGCTAGTAGTTAAACGAGCGACCAATTTTCCCGTGGAAAGATTCTGTGCACATTACAAATGTAGACCGTGGTCCGACCTCTTCTACATTGTTGTGCTCTCGACTAGCTATGGAATGAATGTACACAGTATGGCAAAAAAAATCTGCAATATCCTGAACTCTAAGTGGACGCTGTGCGTCCAAATCGCCCACTAAGGCAGCCACGTTTAGGGCTACACGTCCAAGTCGTCCGATATATGTTAGAAGGGGAAATGCGAAAAAAATGAAGATGAAAAAAAAGAAAGGACCATGCCTAACTAGATCAACTATAAATGAAATTCTTAAATAGTTAGGAAGTACAATTAAAGTAAAGAAAGGTAGCTTAAAGTAAGTAGTTTCCACAGAAGCTCTGAATGCGCTACATTGCGTTAGTTATTTTTAGCAAAGTATTGGTGTGAAATTCTTGTAGATATAAGAGATTATCACGGGGTTAGTTAAGAATTATTCCTTATTAAATTTCCTTTGGTACGAACTTAATAATTCGAATCACATTTGTCATGACTGCATATTGATAATTCCTCGATGTCAGACTAATCACATTGTTAGTTCTGCGTCCAAAAGCAGAACGAACGCATCTATTTGGAATCGCTGATCGGTTAACACTTACTGAGCGAAGAAGACAGAAAGAAAGTTTGCTGAAATGACGAATCGGACAAATTGTTGAGCCTATATCTCTTATAGTGATCCGACCGTTAAACACTCACACATCTGACAAGGGTGAGTGTGAACGATTGAGTTGTCGCCTTGGTGGCGCTGTAGGATCATCGCTGTAAAGGACAAAAATATATAGATGATCAAAGGAGGAGGATCAAAGGAGAACGGCTCGTAAGCGACTCTACACCGAATTCGTGTAAGTAAATGAGCAAAGGAGAGCAGTTCATCAACGACACTGCACAGAAAAAAAAAGTGTACATGATCAAGAAGAGTTCGGCGACAGAACTAGTGAGGATCTGAGTAAGTAGATGACTGAAAGAGATTAGTTCACGACGACACCTATAAGAATAGCAGATTTCAGCACGTGGGTAATCAAAGATCAGTAATTCGTCAACGACTCTGTTGGTAATCTTCGCCTTCCGTGCCATTCAATCACTTCTGCCAATTCTGTAATTTTCCGTGACAAGTGAAGTCCATTGATGTCGCGATAAGATCAGCAATTATCTGATTAATAGGAAACTCTTTCGATTTAAAATCGGCAAATACGAATTTTTTGTCAGAGTCACAAATCAGTAACTTATTTCCTTTTTACTTCTAAATACAGCAGAAGTAAAAGACTATAAACGTTAAAGAAATGTTGAACTGCACTTAAGAATAACTTTTCTGTTGTGTAAAATGAAAACAGAAAACGAAAGAAAGAGTAAGATTAAAAATTCAATAGCATTTATTAAAAACACTTGAAAAAGGGTTTGCCTAGAATCCCTTTGAATCTTCGTACTGTATTCCATTCAAAAAAGCAAACAGCAAACAAACAATACAGGTATGATTGAAAACGATATGAAAACTAAACTCTCGTACAATCGTTGGTTTGCTTCATTTTCGCCCATTACCAGTGGTTTCGCCCGATTCACAGAAATAAAAAGAAAACCACTACGTTGTATACGAAATCGATCTCACTGACAGAATAAATGTTAAAGGCGAAATCAGATGCTAGCAGTGGGGACCGATAGGACGGCAGGGACGAGAACGGCAACCGGTAATGGGAAAGGGGAACGGGAAACGGAGAGCGAAGATCGGGAAGCAGGGAACGGGGAACCGAGAATCAAGAACGAGGACTGGAGATGGGTCATAATTGTTGGACAATTTCAACATTTCGTTGTCGATCGGCCGGTGGTCGGTCGGTCTGTCGGATGGGGACAGGGATGGTCGGTCGGTTGTTCGGTCGCGCACAGACAGGGCCCAGCAACGAGGTAATTCGAGAAGCGTGATTTGCACAACTTCGGAGCACTTTTATGTTGTTCGTGAACTGGTTTATGGTGAGGAATTTTGTCAACGAAAAACTTCAATTTGCACAATAACACAATGACTTTCATTTAATGTACCAAACTCATCATCCCCACCACCCCCACCAGACATCGGCGACCAACCGACGATGCAGCTATTCGCCGATTTCACGCATCTTATTAACTTGTCTTCCCCATGCCACCAATAGGATGTAACTTTATGGAACTTTTTTTTTTACCTTACACATGGTTACACTATTATGGTATGTAAGAAAATAATAAATTTAAAACATCTTCTTGAAGAGGAAGAAATTACTTCATGAAGAACGCCTCTCGGTCGCCCACGCTGTCACTCTGCCCTCATGCAAGCAATGATTTTTTTCTCCATTATTGAGTAAAGTTGGTTTTATTAAATTATTTAGCAAGTAGCAAAGACATAAGCGTCTAATAATAAAAACGAAGACGAAAAAACAATCGAAAATCTTTAGCATCTTGGTTTTCGACAGCGATTGAAGCGAATACTTCCTCCCTATAGTCACTATCTGTGACAGATTTGACAGTTCATTTTTGCTTCGTTTGCATGCTGCATATGTTTAAGGTGTACTAAACTCTAGTATCTATGCTACGGAAAGTCGACTAGGTGATGTTTTAAAGCTTCCAGCTAGGAATTGAAACAGACAATCCGATCTACAGTATCCGTCTTTCAAACGCGACACTTCACCAATAGATCCTATTATTGTTATTTTAACGGATGAACTCTCAACTACACTGAGCAACATATAACTCTCTTTCGATCACTATTTGCCTCGCCAAGGAAGTCGATAAAATTTATAGGTGCTGTCGGCACATTTGATTTGATGCCAAAATGGTTTGCTGTGCGCGAACTCGCTGACGACAGTCGGCTGACATTAAAAGGAGTAAGTGAGCGGGACTGAAAGAACGCTATCCAAGGTCGACCCTTATATCTTAACGCTATTACTGACGGTAATTAAAAACGCTTAAAATATAAATGCTGACTGATGTTCGCCGTACACAGTTGTTCGGCCAGGGGCCGTTAAATGTTATATCCTTCTTCAAGGCTCACATATTGCTCGTTACACTGTCGGCCCTCCACCATCACCATCAGCACCACCATCACCACCGAAACCGATTCTTTTCAGTGACCTTTTGCGGTTACGGGAATCGCTAACAAAAACCGGTAACTGCCCAGACATTAACCACTTACCGTCCACACTACAGCAATTTGGGCGTATCAGAAAACGAAGAGCTCTACAAAAGCGAGAAGGGTATCAGCTAATTTGGTTGACTGGCAATGTTAAGAAAGATTTACGCCTTGAAGAGCGAAAAACACAGCTTTCAGATTTGATCAACCCCTTAGGGATACACCATGCATTTCAGTTCATCAATCTAGATTTGAGTGGATGCATATCTAGCCACTGCAATGACTTTTGGTAGTCCACCAATCTATCATATCAGCGCTGCTATCCTCCTAAAGAAATTTGACTCCAATTTTTCGACTCCGGAGAGATGGAAGACTTTTTGAGTCTGGACCACAAGGTCGAATCAAGGACCACATGTGTATTATCTCCAACCACTGCGCTACAAGCGTCCAGTTAGTCCCAAGAGATACAATGACAAATATTGGTATGCTTGTTGTGAAAACATCGTAAAAAACGAGTTCATTTAACCTAATCAGCTTTGTGTAAAGTAGTTATTCCGAATTGGTACACTTTAATTGAAACAGAAAAACAGAAATGTAACGGTTATGTCACTTTAACAGTGAATCAGCCAATAGCAAGAAATTTCATGAAGTTTATCGTGTCTACAGTAAATCTCAATCTTGCTACCGTCTAGTTAGGAAAGGTTGAATAAATATTTAGTCAGACAATTGGAGAAATCGCCGAACTAGAGACGATCCATAGTCAGGTCCTGCAGCCGGGTCTTATCGCGCACTCATTCTATAGACATTTCGTCAATAGTATTACAGCCGCTATTAGAATCTCTTTACCTCTAGTTAATGTCTGCTAATCGTTCAGTTGTTCCTCGGTTTTTAAAGTTCTTTTCTGTTTTCTCAGTAAATTAACAAAATATATAATGTTTAGTGGTGTGACACTTAAAAACTGATATTCAAAGGATGATAGACCGGGTAACAGTCTCTATTCTAAAACCCTATCAATAATTACCCCAAGCTCATTTGATTGGTTAGATGCTTGGTCTGTGAATGGGGTATTTCCATAAATCACGAAGATTGGTATATCCTCAATTTGACCAGCCAATTTCTTTCTACGAAATCTCGAAAATCGTGCTAGGGTTTTTGTAGGATGATAATGATACCAGGAATTGCATTAGTCTTTGATAGGCTTCCAAATGATGCCAACATCTTCTTAGCTTGGGAAACCATGCTAGAGGATGAACACCCCACTGAGTTCGACACACAGGAACATCTTCCGGGTACGATAACGCTGTAATCCATTGAGGTATTGGCAAAATAAACTTTAAAATAGCACAATCAAACGGTTAGAAGCATCGGAAACCAAACCCGTGACAAGCGACGTTACGGTTTATAACAGTTTCTACCGTTTTAACCATTTACTTGAATCCAATTTCTCCTTAGTGATGGTCTTTCAGATTTCGCGACTCGTTATGAATCTCTGTACAATAATCTTCAGCTAAGAAGCAAGGTAGAGAATAAGACTAAGAAACCAACAAGCCATGTCGGTGTGCTTGAACGATGGATAAATTTAAGAAAATTTTAAAAATTAAAATTATTACCGCATTAAAAAAACACGCCAATGGAGAAATTCGATGTGGTGGGGCAGTGGACACTTAAAGCATATACGTCGAAGCGGCCCTCGGGCAGAGCTGGCGATTTATCATCGCGAATCCTGCCCGAATTTCAACTCACTTTGATACTAAACAACGCCACCCACTATCGATTTATGGTGGGCCGTCTTTGTTGAAAAAATCTGCTCATTTCTACCACCAGTCACATAGAAATTCTCATACATTTTCTTCATAACTTGTGCATTGTATGACATTTTACTCAATCGTTACTGCTAGACGAGCACCTGTTCAATCCACGCTGATCCCAACCAGTTATTCTCATACAGTTTCTTTTTCATTAAAACGTAGAACATCTCGTTCGTGTTTGTGTTGTTTTCCCATTAACACGCAGTGTGTCATCGACGATCATTAATCTACCGTAGTAGCGGCGGCGGTAGAGGCGGCGAATAACTCTGGGCGGAGTCAGACTTATCAAAAAAGGATCTGGCCACTTCGTCTTTTTAAGCCCCATGGAGTATCGATAACATCACTTTCACACTACTTTCCATATATTTTTTTATATGGTTTGCCGTGCGAATCATAATAATCCACTTTGTCAGGTGACCGTTGGACACCACAGCGAGCGCTCGTAATAGCTTCATCCCACTATCCAAGCTACTAAAAGGGATCGAAGAAATAAAACGTATTATATGAAATAGTTTATCACCATTAAATTTCACTTGATCATTAGTGTGAGGTTGTCGGTTTATGGTTTACGTTTTTCATCAATAAGAAACCATGCCAACTGCTTAAATTTTGGAGGGCATGCAAAGACATATTAGTTATTTGGGAGATACGTTACTTGAAGTTATTTAAGGCAATAAAAATAAAGAAAGGAAAATAAGGGTACGCCAGCGGCAACAACGAGATCAGCATCTTCGGATGACTGAAAACACAGACTAATTGTTTCACAACTAGTAGCGTCCTTGCTCCATCCTATTCTTCCTGTAATTCTATCCTATAATTTATAAAAAACATCTTTTAGATTGGTCATAAGTTCCGAGTTGAGCTTTTAGAAAAGGACTTCAATGATAGGGTGGATTTCCGATCATAACGAAACTTCCACTAAACTTTATGTAATTTATGTCTGATATGCATGCATTACCACACAAGAAATGATTCTTTATTTCAAAAAATGATCTTGACTGAAATGAAAAAAAAAAGAAAAAAAGAGAAAAGGAAAGAAGATCATCAAATAATTTTTTGTTGTTAAAAACAACTTGTTATGTAAGAATTAAGATTTGGTTGCCCAATAATGACTATATTTATATTGAAGACAAATCTCGCTGGAGACAAGAAAGGTTTAGCATTAATATTTCTTATTGAATAGAAGAAAATTGTAAGCCATTTATGGCATCACTATTTGTGATTAAAAGACTGATCAGGTAGATATAGAGATAGATTTATATAAGACTTTAAATAGTTTTTGGAATTATTCTCTTTTGTTCTTCACAGGTAGGACAAACTTAGTTGCTCTCCAGGCTTCCAAGCATCCTAACACAAGTGAACGGGGTATTGAGCGCTTTGCTGAGAAAATTCTAAGGGTGGCAGGTGAAGTAATATCAACGGCTAGTGCTTAATTTTCACTTCTACTGACGACACTGTTATGAAGAGGTTTGAGAGTTCGCATTCTCGCGAAATCATGGCTTTCAAATATTCCGCTAAAATCGCCTTTTGTAAATGAGCCAAACAATGGGATAACTTCCATTGTCGTTTCCGAAACCGCTCGGTAAGATAAGGGAAGGCCGGTTAACACTTCATCCAAAAGAGATTATAAAAATCTACAGAAGAATAAGTTTCTGAAAAAGAGAAGGAACAAAAAAGTGATTATTACACAGACCCCTCTCACAGAGGCGTGCATAGCCGTAGCCGACGACAATTCTAGAGGCTATGTGGTGGCGGTCCTTAGCAGAATAATACAAGAATAATCGCTAAACAGAAAACGACCTTTTACTTGTTCCAGAAAAAGACGGAACAAGGAGAAGGATCTTCCGCCTCTTTTGCGTTAGAATGGTTTCCACTCCCCAGTCTAGACTATAATCTATTCATGCACACCAGCGAGGGTGTTTGCGGTTATGCGGATTATATCTCCCACGTTGAGTCTTTTAAAGGCCTACAGTAATGTAACAAGGCAGAATCTCCTAGAGC